ACACCTTCCTTGGGCACTTTATCTATAAAAGCGCCTCCTGTTCCTCTGAGTTCCCTTGTCCTGCTTTATTTGTCTATATACCTGACAACTGCCCAGCAGTACACTAGCCGTTCATCTGGTCCCCTATCCAGACACCGGGCATGTAGGGTCAAGAGAAGAGTGGCTTTGTTTGCTTCCCCCTCTATCTCCACTGCCTAGAAGAGTGTACAGTGGCGGCAGGTGCTCGATGAATATCTCTTGGATGAATGAATGAATGAGCTGGCCTGATCCTCCCTCCAATGTCAGGCAGTTAGTTAAGGGAGACAGTACCCAGTGTTAGTTGCTCTCCTTTTGCATCTCCAGAAGCATCATCTGCCTTTCTTGGGCCTGACCTGTGCCTCAGGCTAGTGATTAGGGCTGGGTTTGACCAGGAGAGAGAGTTAGAGGTATTTACTTCCCAGGCCCCTCCTTCCTGGGCTGTGCATGACAGTGGCTGTGTCCCTCCCCTGAAGCCACAATGCCTTCCAGGTGTGCCCTCTCTCATGGCAGGAGCTCCCTCCTCATCCCCCTCAGACCTAGGCAATGGCCTCCTGTCACAGCTAGTTCCTGGTCTTTACATACCTGGCGATTGCCTTAACTTGCCCACCGTTCTGAGAACAGTCTCTTCGTTAAGTTCACTGCCAACCACTTGAATGTGCCATCTCTTTCCTGCCAGGACCTGACTGATGTGCCAGCCTGTTCACTAACCCTCCTTCATCCTGAGCTGACCACAGGAACCTCCCCACCCCGATGCCGTCCACAGGCCAGCAGCATTGGCAGGACCTGGGAGTTTGTTAGAAGTGCGGAATCTCCGGTTCCCCATTCTGATGGAGTCAGAGCCTGTACTTTAAGAAGATCCGGGTCATCTGCATGCGAGTCTGCGGAGCACTGACTGGAGAGGGGGAGGCGGCGTTGGGTAAAGACGGGACTACGCCCCACCCTGACATGGTGTGTTTGTAAACTAGCAAGGCAGGCTCCTCACACAGCAGCTCCACACTTCTTCTTCCCTCTGCCTCCTGTGGGCAGAGAATGGGGGAAGCACATCCATTCTGGATTCCAGTTGCCTGGGTTCCAATCTTGCCTCTCCCCTCACTACCTGTGCAACTCAGGGTGCATTTCTCACCATCTCTGTTTCCCTGTTTGTCCAGTGGGGATGGTAATGGTGCTGCCTGTCAGGCTGGGATGATTAAACCACATGATGCAGAAGAAGCGAGGGAACAAGCCAGGTGGATATACGTGGGAAGGATGAGTGAGGAAGAATAAGGAAGAATATGGAGGTAAGGGAATATAGTGGGGCAGCCAGTGCCTCATGCCGGTGCCACCCACAGGGTCGCTAAGGAGTGTTGGTGGTGGTGGTGGCCATGTCATTTTGGGTAGGAGCGGAGGCAGTACGTTTAGGTAATATATAAGCTGGAAAATCCATTCGTGTATTTCTGCTCATAAAAACAAGACAGTCACCTGAAATGATAGTCATCACAGCATCTGTATTTGCTTGAGAGCTTACAAGGCCCTTTCAAAGACATCATACAGATATTTAAGAGTATGAGAAGCAAAGCCCTGGAAAACTCATTCCAGGCGGTGCTCGGGAAGATGGAGACCTTTCAGAAGAAAGCTGACTGTAAATGAACCCCTGCTTCCAAGCGTCATTCTGCAGATGCACTTTGATTTCACAGCCATTGATCAATAATTCATTTGGCTGGTGACTGCCGATGACATGATTTAATATGTCCAGCTAAATTATGTTCCCATAGGAACACTCATGCATACCAAAGGAAAAATGACAATTGCCACAGTGCTGGCCCCTAATTGAAGCAAGCCTGCATACATGCCTGGACCTGCTGTTTGAGGGAGAGAAGGGCTTGTGTCCAATCAATAGAGGTGCTAAAGCAGAGAGATCTCCAGGAGTCCAGGATGAGCGAAAGAACTTCTAGCCATGTCACCTCTAACCAGGGGCACCTCGCAGTGGTCGACGTTTGTAATACCCACCAGCAAGATCAGAACTGGAAAGACCAAAGTGAGGCACACCCAGGAAAGTAAAAATTGCTTGAGAGTAATTCCAAGTATTTATTCAGACTTTCCGAGAGACTCTTTCAGCATCTTTGCCATCCGTGGGCATTTCTGCCTGTTTCTCTGTGTCTTCTTTTGGCCTCCCCTTGTTTAGCGAGAGAGATGTCGGTGAACTAGCAGAAGCAGCAAGCACATGTCTGAGGCTACAGTGACAGCAGGTGTGTTACACGAACGAAGTCAAAATACCCTGAGGCTTGGTTTCTAACCAAAAAGGGAAACTGCGATTCAGGAGATTCTGTGAGACGAAGTTAAATACTAAAAAGAGCCGGGATGATCATATACTGAGATCACAGCAGCAAACAGTAGCTGGGAGCACTGGGCTTGACGTCAGGCTGCTTGGGTTCAGCTTGTGACTCCACTGCTCACTGGCTGTGTGATCTTGGAAAGTTACTTTACCTGTCTGTGCTTCGGTTTTCATGTCTCTTAGGCATAATAATGTTTTCTTACTCCTGCGGTTGTTGTGAATATTAAATGAGCTCTGATGCAATTACATTTTTAGTGCAATGCTTCATGTATACTTATGATCCAATAAATGGTAATAATGTATATTCTTTATCATTATTATTACCAGTGGTTTCCTAATTGGTCAACTTACCTCCAATTTTTCTGTCCCAATCAACCGCTGTTTACGCTACTGCCACACTAAAATTCTGGAAGACTCACTCTGATTAAAAAACCCTAATGGCTTCCCAATTCCTATAAAATAAAGATCAGGATTTTTAGAATAATATACAAAACATCCAAACATCCATGGTCTTGTCCTGCTTATCTTTACACCTCTCTCCGGCTATGTTAGCCTATTCCCAAGTTCTTAAAAGTCCTGCATTTGTCAACCTGTGTGTTCATACTATCCCTTCCTTCCACCCATCCATCCATCCACCCATCCATCCATCCACCCATCCACCCGTCCACCCATACATCCAACAAATACTTACCGGATGCTTACTCTGTGCTAGGTACTATACTAGGCATAGAGGATGCAATGATGAACAAGCAAAGAAAAAACTAAAATTTTGGGGATAACGACAACTGTTATGAAGAGTGTAGCAAGGTCCTGTGGGTGGAGGGTGTTCTTTAGATAGGGTAGTGAGAAAGCCCTCTGTGGGTAAAAGGCATTTGAGCTGAGACTTGGGGAGGCTGCAATGGAAATATCTCGAGTGAGAATGTTCTAGGCGGGGTAACAGCTGATGCACAGGTTTTGCAGTAAGCCAACTGTTGCAGCAAACAACCCCAAATCTCAGTGGCTCAACACGGTTAGTGTTTTTCTTTCTCACTTTAAAACCTAGCGTGTGGGGGGACACCGCTCCACCCAGTCACACCGGTGATGCGACGCCACGGCCTTCAGTGGCTCAGCGTCTTGTGCCTTCCGCTGTCAGATGGGAACAGAGAGAGAGTGTGGATGATCGCAGGGGCAGCGGCTAGAAGGGTCAAATACCAGGCTTTACCCGTTCTGTGGGCACAGACTCTGAGCTGACTGCAAGGGAGTTTCTAAACGTAACCTCTCTGTGGGACTACGGAGAAAAAAGACAGGACTTGGTGACTCATTCTGCTCTCTGTCCCAGGCCTCGAGGCAGGAAGAGCTTGGACTGTTTGGGGAACAGAGCTTAGAGTGTGGTGGGGAGAGTGGAAAGACGTGAGGACAAAGGGAAGGCTGGAACAGGGCCTGCAGCTATTTTAAGGAATTTGGATTTTATTTTAATATCAAATGGAAACCTTTATAAAGAGTTTTATGCCGAGGAGGGACACGGACAAATTTATAAGTTAAAGAGACCTTGTTAATGTGGAGAAAGAATTGAGGGAATGTGTTAGTTCCCTCTTGCTGTTGTTACAAATTACCACCAATTTAGTGGCTTAAACCAGTACACGTTACTGTGTTACAGCCTGGAGGTCAGAGGTCAAAAATCTCAGTGTCTGAAGGGCCGTGTTCCTCCTGGAGGAGCTTCCGGGGAGAAGCTCTGTCCTTGCCTTTCCAGCTTCTAGAGGCCACCTGCATTCCTAGGCTCTCAGCCTCTTCCTCCATCTTCAGGGTGCCTCACTCCCACCTCTTGTTCTGGCCTCACATCACCACCTGTCTCTCTGACTAATCCTACTGCTCCCTCTATATGAACCCTTGGGATCACATGGGCTCACCAGACAATCCCAGGTGACCTCCCCATCTCAAAGTCCTTCACTTAATCACTGCTGCAAAGTCCCTTTTGTCATGTAGGGTAACATGCTCACAGGGTCAATGGATTAGGACATAGAGATCTTTGTGGGCCATTGTTCAAATGACCACAGGGTGCAAGAATGATAAGACGACCAGTAAAAAGATCGTGGCCACGGTCCTAAGCTCAGACAGTTGTGATGGGGTATATGGATTTGAAGGAGAAAGGCATGGATTTGAACACCGTTTGGGGGCCAGGATCCACAAGTGGTGGTCATTGACTGGTCCTGGGAGATAATGAAGGAGGAACCAAAGAGGGGCCCACGTTTCTTGCTTGGGTGTAATTGATGAAATAATGACCGGAATCATTCAAAGAGTCTATTCAGTAACCAGTGATAAGCAAAAATTCTAAAATTGTCTATAATTTATAAGACTTGTGACAAGGAAAGAACTCATAATTACAAACTGGTTGTCACTGGATCTTACATACTGATTTTTGTCTGAATCATTAATTAGCAAGTGAATCAACAGCTGTTGATATCTCATAAACAAGCTATTCTAATTTATTTTTTAAAAAGTACCATGTAGTTAAAGGGAAGCGCCACAGAGGTGAAGATTGAGACATATTCCTTAGAATTATTTCTACATTTCAGGGTGTATTTTAAAAATGGTGTTTGTGAGCCACCAACTTGCACTCAATAAGCTACAGCAAAGGTTGAGCTACAATAAACTAAACACTTTAATTTAAAAATTGACGTGAAATAAACAGTTGCATATTTTCCAATGTCTGAAACACGTTTGAGATCTTCATCACTCTTCAAAATGGTGGGTTTTGGCCACTACTTCGGTTTTCTCCCTTCTGTCTTTCTCAGTTCTTTTCCGGTTCTCTATTGCTGCATGGCGAACTCTGCTACAGAGGCTGAAGACAATGACCGTTATTATGGATTATGATTGTGTGGGTTGGGATTTCGGGCAGAGCTCCCTGATGATTCTTCTGCATCCTTTAGTGTAGACTAGGATGGCTCAGTCGTGCTTGTCAGGTGCTGGTCTGGTCTGGACCATCTCAGGCAGCTTCACTCACATCCTTGGCCCCTTGGCGGGGTGGGCTGCATGGATGGGTCCAATGGGCCCTCCCTGCCATGTCCTTTCAGGCTTATCCATGCAGCAGGTTAGTTCAGGTGTGTTATGTGACTACTCAAGGCTCCAAGGGGTCAAGGCAGAAGCTTCCAGTTCTCTCAAAGGCTAGTCTTGGAACTGGAATAAGGTTGCCAGATTTAGAAAATAAAACTACAGAATGCCCAGTTCAATCTGAATTTCAGATAAATGACAATAATTATTAGTATAAGTATGTCTCAAGTGTTGCATGGGGCGTACTCACACAAAAAGAGTTATGTTTCTGAAATTCAAATTGAACTGGGCGACCTGCATTTTTTCTGACAACTGTTGCCTGGAATCACTTTCACTATCATCTATTTGTCAAAGGAGCCACCTGCCAGCCCAGACCCAAGGGGGAGGGCAGAGGACCCACCTCTCCGTGAGGGAAGTGTCAAGGAGTGTGTGGCCTTCTTCAATTCACCACCGACACTGCAGTCTGGGCTTTGGTCCGTTTTGATGTAGGGACTGCCAGTGCCGATGCTCTCCATGGCCTTCCTGAATGAGCTGAGGTGCTCGGTGCCACCATTCACCTCAAATCCCACCGACCTTGGCACAGCAGGCAACATGGCACATAGCGGAAGGATCCGGATAGACCTGTGTGTGAATCCTGTGTTACCTGAGGCAAGTGCCTCGTTCTCTCTGAGCCTCGGTTTCCCCCACGTGTTACATGTTTATCACCATAATACAGTGGGTTGCAGTAAGGATTAAACAAGGTGACAAATGAATATAAGACAAATTACCAGAAAACAGAACACGTTCTGCATCAATAGCAGCAGCCCCTGCGATGGTAGAAGAGCTATAAAATGGGAGGATTGAACTTCAGCGACCAGGAAATTCGTGAGCCGAGCAAACTGCTCAATGACTTGCCTTTGCTCTGAGGGCTTTGCATCCATGAACTTTTGGCTCCTTTTTGTACTGAACACGCCTGGTCTCTGACTGGGATAAATACAAAAGCGAATGCAACTCTTAGCGCCTTTCGCCAAGGAGTCCCTTCAGGAATAATACTGTAAATATTGTAATATTTTAAAATCAGGCTTGGAGAACACTGATTTTCTTTAGCCCCACTCAAGCCCCTCAGTGGATCCTAAATTGCTATAAATATCAACGTATTTATCTCCTTAACCTTTCAGGTGATTTTATTCTGCCCGTCGCACTGCAGCTGTCCAAGCGAAAACAGCAAAGACCTTCTCTGTGCATGAAAGTGCGTCTCCATGCGGCCCCTCGGGGCGGGGGGTGAGGGCAGACTCTCGCGCCCACCCTGGGCTTGACCCTGCTCGCTCCTGCTCGTTGCCTTGGAGCTCGGCGTAGCTCCCCGGGTGGAGCCTTGGAGAAGGATGGTCAGATTTATTTGTGGTCTAAACATGGATGAAATTAAACGTAGGCAAAATATTTGACAAAATGCATTTTGAAAAACAAAAACGAGTTTTAAGGACTGTCACAGCCAATAAATTCACTTAGATGAAGGACTCTATGTGTAATAAAAATGTCCCATTTAAGAAATTAAACGATCTTGTCATTTGTAACAAGGATTAATAGAATTTTAAAACGGAATGAGCTACTGTGAAGCTTGGTGAGTCACAATGGCCTTTCACATTTGCAATATTCCTAAGATTTATTAATTAACACACCAGAAATGATTTTAATGTAACATTATGGTACAGATTTAAACACCCAAATGGAAAATGCTTCTTATTAAGGTTTCTCATCCTTTCTTAACATTAAAATGCTAAACTAATTAAAACCAAAGGTACTTTAAAAACAGTTTGCTTCCAAACAGATTTTTAATATACACCAAGCCAAGTATGAACCTAGAGGTATTTTTTTGGGGAGATAGAATCAGAAATCTATTAAAAATAGAATTTCTAATAGGTGTTCTAACAGTCTCTTCTCTGTCTGCATGTGTTCTGCATGGCAATAGTGCTGTTTAAGGCAGAATTTGGGCCCAGGTTGTGAATTTCATAAGAGCATTAGGCAAAACTTTCTAAAGCATGTCACACTTTATCACAGTTTTGCTTAAGCTACTCCCAAGATCTTCCACTGCCCTAGCGTAAATTTCGTTTTCTTTGTTACAACCTACAAAGCTGTCTGCAATCCGGTCTCCACCTGTTTTTTCTCCCTCCTCTCAGTGTTGTTGTATTTCAGCTATTTTAGCCCCATTTTACTTTCTTTGAACGTGCGAAGCTTGTTCCTCCTGTAAAGTCTTTGTATTTTCAATTCCTTCTAGAATGTTCTTACCCTAAGTCATCACATAGCCTATTCCTTCTCACTATTCTGGTTCTGATTGTCCTACCTAAGATGCTTCTAATCTAGCCCATTACCCTGCATTATTCTCTTTAGGGCACTCATCACACTCTAAAGTATCTTAATGTTGTCTCCTTGTTTATTGTCTGTCTCTTTCAACCAGAAGACAAGGTCCACAAGGTCCTGGTCTGCCTTGTTCCAGCCGGAATCCTCGGTGCCTAGAACAAAGCTCGGTCAACGGCTGTTGAAGGAACGCAGGCACTGTGGCATCCAGAGGCGACAAGAAGCGGTGACTACCAGACAGCTGGGTAGGAAAATTGTATCGGTTTTTAGAGAAGTTGCCGGTGTCTCGTTGTGAGACCTTAAAGAAATTGAGATAAAAGCTTGTGGGCAGGAAGTGGGAAACATACGTATTAATATGCTCGGCTAATCTCTGAATCAAAGAGAAAGACAAAGGAAAGAATGATGACATTGAAATAAGAAGGCTGATAGCAGCGAGGGGCCTGAGTGCTCGATGTTAAGAGATGGAGGCTGACTTTTTTTGATGTTTTTTTCAATCTGAGAATTTTTTTTAAAAGGTCTAATTAATTTTCTTTCTAGGTTTGGGAGCGTTCAAGAAATGCCTGTCAGTGTTTATTTGGGAGTCCCAATTTTCTCTTTCTTCTTATTCCTCATACCTAGCGTCGATTCACATGAACTCAGAATTGTGAATAAATGGCTTATTTACAATATGACAAGACTCTTCCATTTTGTCCTGTCTCTTCTCTCCTCTTTGGTAAAAGTCCCTCTGGCCTTCTCCATCACCTCTGCTCCCTCTCGCCTTCTGCCTTGGCAGCCTCTGGTACCTAGGAATTTATCTGACAATGTGTTGGTGGATCTTAGAGTTCTGTGGAAACTTGCTGGTGTTCCAGAAGAACATTCTTCAGGAAAACCGCCTTAGAAGTTTTGGTGAAATGATAATATTTTTTTGTATTTTAGAATTGTGTGAGTGTCTTTTTTCCTTCTCTGTCTAAACTACTTTCCTATACTTAGCCTGAAGTTGTGAGTTTGTTGCTAATTTATCAGGATGCTGTAAACCAGCAAGCAGTACATGCAGTCATCAACACGTTAAAAATGAGCCCGGCATACCGAACGGCTCACTGTATGATACCTATTGATAATAACAGTGAGTATAGCTAAACTAGCTAAAGAGAAAGAAAACTTACCAGAACCCTTATTACCTTCTCATGGCTCTACAAGACATAGTGATTATTATAGTTTTCCTTCAGAATGGATCTACTGTAATTTAGAAAAAATGCGTTTAAATCAAAGCCAATCTATGTGTCTATATAAGTATACACCATATATGTAATACCTATACTAAACAGGCAATTCAACAAACACACGTCGACTGTGTGTATGCCAGGACGTGTGCACCAGTAGGCAGTGATGCCTGCCCCAGGGGACGTCCCCTGTGGTTGAGAATGTGTATTGACCAGGAATTGTCTCTATCACTTCATCAGCTTTCTGAAATTTTTAAAATATGGTTTCTGATTTCAAAACAGTGAGTAACCACTCTGCGTTCACACGTTATAGAATTTTGCTGAGGAAGATTTGCCCTGAGCTGACATGTGTGCCAACCTTCCTCTATTTTTAGTACATGGGCCCCCAGCACAGCGTGATGGCTAACAGAGCAGCGTAGGTCCGTGCCTGGGAACCGAACCCGGGACACCGAAGTGGAGTACGCTAAACTTAACTGCTAGGCCATTGGGGATGGCCCAGGAATCCCAGATTTTAAGAGAGCAAAGAAGTCCTGAGACCAAAAAGTCTGAGAACTGTTGATCTGTTCGATGGGGTTTTAGCTCAGCTGGGGATTCTTTCTTGTTCACTTGTTGAGTTATTTAACAAACCTAACTGGGCATCTACTTTGTGTAAAGTATTTGACTATTTTGGGGGGGCCAGAGCAATGGGTGATCCATTGCTCCCTCCTTCAGGAAGCTCACTGCGAGTCTGTGTGGATGGAGGGAAATGGCTCTCTGTCTGTTAGGAGGTTGATTACTAACACTGTTGCCCACTTTGCAGCATGATTTTCAGGCCGCAAAGCTGGTGGATGAGCACTTGTCTTTCCGGGGAGTGTGCATGACAGTTGAGACGGCGACACTGGTGACACACACGTGAGCAACTGCTATTTCTGCTTTATCTGCTTGTGGGTCAGCCCGAGTGTTCTGGGCTCCTTCGTGGTAGCCCTAGGTTAGCAGTCCCTTGCACAGAAGGCCGAGGGGTGCACCCGTGTGACGCTGACCACTGACCACACTGCCAACAGATAACCATCTCCATCCCCCGCTCTGCCTGGAACTAAAATTGTCAACAGGGCTCTGAACGCAGTTTGGGTTCTGCGGTCTTAGGTTGGTAACTGCTTTTCTACACTCTGCTCCTCTTTGAAACAAGCGCTTGCAGGACGGCCCTCAAAACAGCTGCCCCTGAGGCGGAGTTTTCTGCTTCTTTTACCACTTGCGGTTCGAGAGGCCATCTCTGTCGCCAGAGAACTACTCTCTCCCCTCGGCCTGTTGGCAGCCTCTCTCTCTCCGGTTGAATGCATGACCCAGTTTGCTTTCCTTTCAATGGGTAGCAAAGGGGAATAGGAACAAAGGAGCATTTTCAATAATGTGAGGAAATTCAGGACCAGGGGAGACTCCCCGCTGGTTCAGCCGCTGGGAAATTTCGTCTTGTGTCAGTTTACACTGGATTTTCTAAATGACTTCCAGAATTTTGATAGGCGCCTCCCTATTTGATGAGTGACATCATTTTATGGAAAGTAGTCATAGGAGAGGACTGAGCACAGAAACAGGCATGGAGTTTGGACTAGTTTTTGCCTTCCTTACTATTCAGGATCCTGTCTCGGGGGGGAGTGTGGTCTGATAAATACAATATTATATTGTAGCAATGTACACCTCTCTTCCCATTCTTAATAAAATAATAATAGTAATAACGATAATAGTTTGCATTAAGGGTTTAGCAGTTTGCACTTAAGTCTTTTCGTTTCATTTTACCTTGAAAGCAGTACCAAAAATACAGCAAACCACACAGTGCCTCCCCGGTGCCAGCCTTGTTTGAGCACTTCACTGACAGTGACTCATTCAGTCCTCCTCGTGACCCTGGGAGGTACGGTTCATTCTCCCCCATTTTACAGGTAAGAAAACTGAGCCATGACAGGTTAAATGTCTTGCCCAGGTTACATAGCTAGCGCTGTGGTGGAGCAAGATTCCATTTTGCTGCCTACATCCCAGGCCCACAATTGTAACCATAAAGCTCTTTGAAGGATCATCTTGTGGATCAAGTATCACCTATCAGATCACAGAGCACTGAGTGGATCACTGAGCACCAAGTGGATCACTGAGTGCCTAGCATATTTCCAATCTCCTAGAGGGTCACAGATCAATTAGTGGATCAAAGCTCACCTAGTGATCGCTGAGCACCAGGTGGATCACTGAGTGCCTAGCACATTTTGAATCACCTAGAGGATCACAGATCACTTAGTGATCACAGCTCACCTAGTGATCACCAAGCACCTAGTGGATCATGGAGCGTCTGCATAGCATCCCTCAGGCAGGGTCTGGATGCAGAGGGTTAAATGTTTGCTGGGTGTCCACATTATACAGACCAGGATATTTACTTATTTTCAGGATCCTTGCCCCGCTCCCATGTACTAGGCTCCTCCCCTGCTCATTTCTGAGACTGAAATTGCTGAAACATTGCATGATGGACTGGATGGAGATAAGAAGAGGAAAGGTTCCCGGGAAGGAATGCTGGGCACAGCATCACCCACATCCACCGCATGGCATCCTCTGAATGGAGAGAACAGTGATTCTGTGAGAACATTGGCCCTGGAGAGCTCAGTGTGGACCCCAAGTGCCAGGCCCTGGCACCTGCTCTGACCACCAGGCAGTGACCTTTCCCACAGGGCTCACCTTTAGGAGTTGGAGGTAGGATTTTCCTTTCCTTCCTCACATCCCCTAATAATAGACTGAAGAAAGTACTGCCATTGGGGAATCGTGTGCCTTTTTTATTCTATAAAACACTAAATATTTAAAGGTCACAATAAGTGTGTTTTTCTGTGTAACCCAGAGAGCTGCGGCCATGGAGCAGGCTTGTATGGGGCGCACCATTGGACGGCCCTGGTGAGTAGGGAGCTGCACAGCTGGGGCTGCCTTGCCTGGTGAGGTCCCTCCATCTGCACAGATGTTCTGTGGCCTGAAGCTCCATAGTTTGTAGCTTGCTCTGCTTTTGATGCATCATTTATGGACTAGCCTGATTCCAGGGCACATCACAGCCCGCCTGTCTCCTAGCCAAGAGCCTCAGCTGTCTGGGGCATTTCTGACAACTGTGTAGCCACAACCAAGCCGGCTTTGCACTGTTGCCTAGAGAGCTTGCAACGTGTGTGCTCACTCTCCTATTGGTTTACCCAGCACTATTGCACTCTCTTCTTTCGTATCAGGGACCTTCGGTCAAGTGCAGAGTGGCAACACCTGGATGCTTCCCATCCTGATGCTAGGATGCTAAGACAAGGGTGCCATCGAAATCACACTGCGTACTGTGCATGGAATACCTGTTATATGCCGGGTGCGCTTTACCTAACTATTTTATTTAATCCTCACGACAACCCTCAGAGGAATATAGAACTATCCTGATTTTTACAGGTGAGGAAATCAAGGTCAAGAGAGGGTAAGTAAAGTAACTGAGATATGGTCACACTGCTAGTAGTTAAGTGACAAAGTGAGGATTCTTGTAAGTCCAGAACTGGCAGTGGCACTGGTCACCATCTAGGTCCTTTCATGGGTGCTCCCATGGCCACTTCCTGTGGCTGGAGACCAGAGCAAGGCCCAGTGAACTTGGGACTTCCCTGAGTAGGCTGGGATGCTCGTGCATCCAAAGGAGCACAGAGAACTTGCAAACAGGGATTGAAGTCAAACTGGAATGCGTGCAGTTCACCTCTCCAGCTAGCAGCTCTTGGGTTTTCTCTCAGCAGCGTGAGCATCACTGTGTCTGACGCTCAGCCCACAGCGGGCTCAGCACGTGAAGGCCCCACGGGAGGGCGAGAGGAATCCTTGCTCTGGCCTGTGTGGGAAGGGGCGGGGGCCGGCCAGCGGCTCCCGTGGTTGCCTCGGCTGTGCCTCGTCCCAGGGCCTGGAGTAGGTGCCCAGAAAATACTCCTTCGCTGAACAAGTTAATGAAAAGTGATACTGGCTGCTGGCTTCTCTCCCAGCCCCAGCAAAGTCCTCTGCAGCGTCAAGGCGGTTGGGGAGGGGTCCCTGGCGGGAGGGCAGACAGGGAGGACGCTGCCTCCGGCCATCAGGCGCACTCTGCTCCTTTGGTTCTGATGACTCCCTCACCCACCTCCACGTCCTGGGTTCAGTCCCAGCACCTATTCTCAGAGAAAGGATCCCTTGAGAAAATGATGCATTCGAAATAGGCAAAGGGATGGCAGAGGGAGAGTCGGGAACGCGGATATGGGAAGACGGTCAGTCCTCACTGGGGGGTTCCTGGAAGATGAACTGAAGGACGGTGTCTAGTCGGTCTTCAAAAAACAGGTGTTTAATTCCCTTTGGTGCTGGAGGGGTGGCCCATGTCAATAACCTTTTTGAGATGCTAGTGAGAGCGATGCATCCCTCACGAGGAGAGGAGAGCGGGCACACACGATTTCAAGAGCCCCCAGGACCCCCTGGACTGGTCTGGCTTTAGAAACTTTGCATTAGAGAGAAGAAAAGGGGCTGTCACCTGTAAGCCCTGCGAAATGAACAACAGCGAAAGCATCCAGACTGTCCATTCGTTGTCCTTTTAAAATTTGCATCATTTGATGAACTTACAGTCTTTAGCATGAAAAAATGATCACAAGAATGCCAAGTGCTTTCTGTGTATCAACTCTTTTCATCCCTTTGACCGAACTAAAGTTTACCTGGAAAAAAATTCTGTACCCTTCAAACATAAAGAACTTGAAATGTCGTCCAAGGTCGCTTGTTGGGGGAGAGATGACTAAGCGAGGGGGGGACTCGCTCCCTCACTCACTTCCCTCTGAAGATCACGGGAGAGGTGTACATCTTATTGAATTTCTTCAAGTTCTTCCCTAAACCTGCCTGGGACCCCTGTGAAATGGTCATAGAACACCACCATCACCCTTCCTGCTGCTGCTCCGAGGCATTTACGTGCATTATCTAGATTCTTCACAGCTAGGAAGAGGATGTGGGGCTCAGAGGGGCTGACTTGCCCCAGGCCACAGAGTCAGGCCAGGGCTGGGACAAGGGAATTCTGAGACTCCTGACAAAGCCTGTCTGGCCTCATCCTGTATTTGGTATTTTTAACCAAATCAAGCTGTTTGTCAACCTTTCTGCAACAGGAAGCAGTCACGTAGCAGAGCCTCTGACCCCCGCTCTGGTCTGGGTGCTGGGCGTGGGTGGAACAGGAGCTGCTGGGCTGGGAGGCCCAGGGGTTTGCCTGGCGGCAGCAGGACTGTGACTCCTGCAGGGACGTTTGCCGAGCAGCATCTGTCCCCTACGCCTGCCTTCCTGGACCGAGTCTCTCTGTGGTCAGCTGTGGCCCCGAGATCCTGGCCAGCACCCGGGGCAGTGGGAGGGGTGGTGGGAACGGCCGGGCTGTGTTAACACACCTGCGTTGGCCTCCCAGCTGTTTGCTTCACAACAGGGCTGCTGTTAGCAATTGCGAAACATTTTCACACCACCCACCCGCTCCCCACTGCTCTGTAACATTTGTTGGCACTCACCATCGGGGTTGAACTGCTTTATTTTATTTATTTTTATTGAGAAAGGGACACTAGAATTCTTTATGTCTGGGAATAAGCCAGCCTGGCCCAGTGTGGAGTGCGGAAATATTCCATCTCCCTTCTGTGCCCAGAATTATTTTTGTTTTCTTCGATACACAACCTAGATACGCTACAGCAAGGAAATCGGTTGATTTTCGAAACCAAAACTCTTTTCCTGTTTATCAGGGTTGAAAAAAAAAATTCCACCGTTGTCGATCACGGTGCCAGCTTATCTTTGTGGGTGGTGTTTGATTCATTTTCTTTTTCATCTGCTGCGTGTTCCTAATATTGTTCCAAAGGAAGTGGCCGTTATATCTTCAAGCCAAGATTAGTGAATTAATATTATTATTAGGATGGATACGAATCGTTGACACACGAGGGACCTGGTGATGGACAGCACGTGGGCTTCGGCATCAGCTCAGCTTGGTCCTTAGGAGTTCAGCGGCTGCAGGTGGGCACCTTGCTAACTCCCGTGAGCCTCAGGAAGCCACACTGTGAAATGAGCAGCGTGCCACACGGTGGGCGCTCATCACTGCTGGTGGTGGGCACTCTTCCTGCCACTCAGTTTAGTACCGTCTTGTGTGTTTTCCACCAATAGAATGCAAGCTCTGTGAGGGCAGTGTCTCCCGCCCGTTGTCTTCATTGCTGTACCTACAGAGTCGGGTGCCCAACGCAGGGCAGACACTCAACAAATATTTGTTGAATAAATGAATGAATGAGTGAACAAGTGAATACCAGGGTCTGTTTTGGAACAGCCACCTTCCAGAAACAGTTATTTTCATCAGCCAGGCAAAGGGAATGCCTTAGGACAAACACACAGTGGAGGAAAAGGAAATACCCAAAGTCTAGGAGAATTTTGTGCCTGCCCACCCTCTCCTGCCTGCCTCTCCATTTTTCCTGCCCCTGAGGATAAATGAGGCATTGGGCATATGTTGCAGCACAGGGCAACAGAAGGTGCTGAAAGACGTTCAGTAAGAGGAGAACATGGCCCCGAAAATTTGCAGGCATCCAGGGCAGGAGTTCAAATGGAGGCCCAAATATTAAAGATCTTAGTATTTAAAACGACACATTTAGCTTAATAATTGTTGAGTGAAGTAGTTTCTCTCCTCCTGCCTTGACCTCAAGGACCAGCTTCAAATCTGGAATTCAGACTCCTTGAGGCTCAGTGCCAGCACATGCCCGCAGAGGGAGAGCTGGCTTCCAGCCTCTCCCCAGCCTTTTCCTCTCCACACCCCGCCCTCTCGCGGCCCCTCCCTGGAGCTCACTGCCCTCCCAGGGGCCTCCTGCTGCGTGTGGGTGCCCCCGCCCATGCATCCCAGCTCCACTGTCACCACCCACAATGGGGGCCTTGGCCTCCCTGGACTCACGGGTGGACACGACACAGTGGATTTCCTGGAGGAGGACAGAAGACTTTGGGGAGGGGCAACATAGGCCCTGAAGTGGGCTTGGTGACATCTAGGCCAGGAATCTTCGGGTCCTGGGCACCCAGAACATGGTGTCGGTGGGGTCATGTCCCCTTGAGGTGGGCGCATATTCCTGGCCCCATCAACTTCTGCCCCCATGGAGAGAGGTGCAGCAGGGGGGCACAGTCAAATGGGGCCTCCTAAGGATGTGACCAGGACCCATTGAAGGGCTGTGTGGGTTCAGGGAATGCCCCCTCCCAAAGTGCAATAAGTGGTAGGACTGGGAGAGGAAGAAGCCTGTGGAAGGGCTGGCCTCTGTTTCCCTCAGACATGAAGTGTTGGGCAAGGACTGAGGCCATTGCGGTGGAGACTTTTCCCTGTTCTCAGGCCTCAGGGAACGGTTGCCTGTCCTGCGCACTAAGAATAATCCTGCAGGGGGCAAAGCTTCAGTCTGCAAAGCAGCTTGTCTGACATCCCCCTCCCGCGGTCCTCACAGTAGCCCCAGTGGACCCGCTGAGTCCTCATCCCACTTTACAGGGGAGGAGACTGAGTCTCCAGAGGCTGGCAGAGCCTGACAAGGACTGTTTTTGCATGGAAGTTCAAGGCCTCAGCCAGGGGCATGCAGCCAAGCAGAGGCAGGGACAGGTACGAGGCCAGAGCCCCCTTCCTTGCACCAAATCTCCCAAGAGTGGCCTTCCGCAGCCGGTGGTCAGGATGGTGCCAGCTCAGCCCTGGGCGCTGGGTCTTCTTGGTCTCAAGAGCATGAACAGCCTGTGCTGCTCCGACGGTCTAGCTCCACAGCCTTGGGGGCGCAGGTGACTCTGGACATGTCGGACTGAGCCCCTCTCCAAACTTGCAAATTAGCCCCAGGCGACAGCGTGGCCCAGCCTCCCTGCCTGCCCTGTGTTCTCAGGGCCCCAGGGACCTGAGGTAGACACGATCTTAAGCACCTTTTGAGTTCTCTAGGCCTCACTTGTCTCCTGGACCCCTGGGCTCTTACTCAGGAATCAGCGAGGCAGCTGCTGCCCTCCCTGCACCCCCTCATCCCCACTGGGGTGGGGCTGGGGCTGCACAGGCATGGGGCTCTGACCTCCGCCTCTCCTAGGCCAGGCTCTGAGGCTACCTGGAGAAGCCAGGTGACGCCCTGGGAAGTGTAGGTGTTCACTGCTTGTGGTGTGGTTGTGACTCCTGAGGACTGGAGGGGCAACAACCCCCCGACATTGCTCCCTTGGGTGGGCCAGTCCTGGGCTGGGTTGTTCTGTGCAGCTGTTTCTAGATGTCCCACGTGGCATGGGGACCCTTAGTGCCTCTTGGTGGCCGGTAGAGCAGGACTGCTTGGCAAGTCAGCACCTTGTGTCTGCTTCCCTTCCTTGCCCCTCTTGCTCCCCTCTGCCCTCACAGTGGTCCAGGAAAGCAGGAGCGTCCAAGCCTTGCCTCCATCTCTGCCCTCCAGAGAATCTGAGTTGCCTCAAGCCCCACGGTGGCTGTTGCTGGGCTCTCACAGTCTGCAGAGACGGCCCCTCTCTGACTGCTGCTTCTGGGCTTCTACTCCAGCATTCGCGATCCTTTGTACAATTTCTTCCACTCCAGCGTCCCTGGTGAAAAACAAAACAAAAACGAACCACAGGGTGATAGAGTCTCGGATGGAAACACTGACTCACCAGCTTTGTTGGAGGAGTCAGTGTGTCACAGTGCTCAGGACGGTGGCCTCAACAGTCAGACTGTCTTCACGTGCGTCACAGCACTTACTGTGTGATCTTGGGGAAGTTACTCAACCTTTCTGGACCTTAGCATCATCTTCTGGAAAATCGAGATAATGACAACATTTACCCCATAGGATTGTTGAGTAGATTAAATGAAATAAAGTCAAGGCTAGGGCCATAATAAGCACTCAATAAATGTTGGCTATCATCTTGAGCTACTCAAAACAAGTCTACCCTCTCCGACTTGACAGCTCTTAAAATAGCCAACAGTGGTTACCATTTATTGAGTGTCTTCCAGACACTCGGAACTCTGCCCAAGCTCTTTGATTGAACTCCTTGGCATTCTACAGTGAGAACACCGAGGCTCGAGGTGAGCCAGAGGACGAACGTCTTGAGCTGGAAGTTGTACCCAGGTCTGCCCGATGCCAAAGCCCATATTCTTTTCACTGTGCGGCACTGAAGGGCATTCCACTCTTTTCTTTCTTCCAGGAGCACCTGCACCTTCTTTTCACCATGAAGCTTCCACAGCTGACCTTTGAAGTGCCAAGAGGAAAGGACAGATGTGAAGCCACAGTGAATGGGTTCTACCAGGAGGGGAAGGTTCCGGGCTGGAAGCAGCAAGAAGCAAGCTTATGGCTGGTGTCACCGCTCACAACCAGCCTTTCCTAATGGGCCAAAGGAGAAGTGAAAACTGACAAATAGGTTTGGCTTCATATGAAGGTGCAAAGAGAACAGCCCAGCTCCGAGAGACATTTCCATCCACCCGAGGTGCAAGGGTGCTGGCTCCCATGATGCGGGAAGTGCTGTGGTAGCACCCAAGTTGGAGGGTGGCTGAAGTCCTGCACGTGGACAGTCCAGTCAGCCTGTCTGTGGTGCCTTTCTGGAAGCCACAGACATGTCTCCCCTCTTGTGAGCCCATGTCCTAATGTGGTGGTTTGCTCCCTGGCAAGTGTGAGCAGCTGTGAGGAAGGTGGCCGTGAGAGAGTCCCGCTGACATCTGCTGACCGGTGTGGTTGAGCCCCGCCACTCACTCCCCACGGGGAGAAGCTGTCCTGTCATTAAGCAGTGGAAGCACAACTGTTGTTAGTATCTTTTCTTTTTAAGTTGATGTGGAAAAGGACTTCTTTTACCACCTTGGATGTGTGGTCATCTTGAGTGAGGCGCAAGGGCCGGGTGAGGTTGTGGCCATCATGGGTGGCTCCTTTGGTCAGCTCCTTCCACTGCTCAGAGGTGGCAGCCACCAAGGGGAACATCAGGGCACTCCAGGAGGCTGTTGGGGTTATGAGGCTCGTTCACCTTCAAAGCACTTTGCAGTCGTGAACTAAACGCCCGCCCCTAATTATGGCCCAGGCTGAGCTTGGCCATGGTCTTCAAATGCAGCGTGGCTCGCTACCCCACCTCCACTCTCAGCCTCAAGGAACATGCTTTCACTGGCACCTACAATAACATCTGGGGTTTTACCTATCCTTTTTTTCTTAACTTTACTGGAGTTGATTGCCTAACTCACTCTTTCAGTAGCTTACTGAGATTTATCCCTTTTGCTAAACTGTGATAACCACAGTTTAATTCTAGGCAGCTGTGGATGCAGCTGTAAGGGCTGGGAGATGAGATGACACAATCTTGGGTGATTTTCAGGTATTACAAAGGGCCTTTTGATTTGCTTTTTAGAGGAAATGTGAAGGTCTTTATCAGTATAGGTAATACTATAGAGCCGAGTGAAATGCACATGAAATTCCCAGTTGTAATTTTTCAACTTCCCTTTGGTATTTGTGAATTTTAGAAGTAGGATCAGCTGGGTTCATCTCCAGAAAACTCCTTCTTGTAATTGCTGATCTGCTGCTGCTGTTAAGAAGTGTGCTTTTTTTTTCATTGAAAACAAAAAAAAGTGTGCTTTGGTGCAAAGGAGAAATGTTTTGAAGATAGATCTGGATGCGAATTTTGGTTCAGACTTTTAGTGATGGTGGGACCCCAGGCAAGTGAATTTCTGAGCTTCGATTTCCTCCTCTATGAAAGGGGAATAATAATAGATGCCGCAAAGGGCTGTAAAGATCAGCAGTAATATTCGTGGAAAGAGGCAAGAGAGTAGTTTCTGTTAGTTTACTTTTACTGAGCCAGAATGGCTGGCAGGCCAGCAGAGAGTGAAAGCAAAGTCGCTAGATAGTGAAAGTACAGAGGGAGCTCCATCGCCGCTTGCTGCTGCTGTATTTCTCCCACAGAAGGCAGAGCGAAGGAGCAGATACGGGCAGCACCTGTCAGTGATGAATCAAACCACCCCAATGGCGAGAAACAAGATAAGAGCCTTGCAGGGCCTGCACTGACTGCTGAGTCTCGGTTCAAAGGGAAGGAGCATCTGATAACTTCCAAAGGAGACTGTGCCTCCGCGGCAGGGGCTGCATGTCTGAGCGGATTTGATCCCCTAGAGACTCTGGAAACACTTTCTGGATAGCTTCCAACCCAGAACAGGGCATCACAGATGACAGATACCTGCTTGTTAAGTTTTCTTAAGCCGATCGTTGAGCTTTCTGAAACTTCTCCGAAAGCAAGAGCAGGGGGCTGCGAGTTCTTGCTCTTCCCAAATGCATCACTTCAGCCCCTGGGTGTACATTTCCTCACATGTGGGTGAAGGTTTGGACTGAGCGATGCCTTGGTGCTTTCGTGCTCTAGGATTCTACTGTCTTTGATCTTAGGACCATCTTCCCTTTCACTGACACCCAGTTACAAAGTCCTGCCATCAAAACGCATCCATCCTAAACCTCATTACTAAGTAATTGCCGAAGTGAAGAAAATTAGAATCAATACACATAAATTTGAAAAATATAAATAAATCAGAAGAAATTGGAAGGGAAAAATTCTTTCATCTTTTCTCTAATAATTAGGGATGCCTAGTTTTCTTGTGCAAGGTTCAGAAGCCAGTTAATTCCAAAGACAGACAGTATATGATGCATAAAAAAGATTTCTGTTTTCTTGTAAGCTGAAGATGAGAATGTCTGTTTCAGAGTTGTAGATAAATATTACCATAAGAAAGTTTGTAGATCTTTTAAAGTTTGTGCTACGTTTTTAACTAACAAAAATGCTGAATTTCAAAGTAAGATTCCCTCGTGTGTGCTCAAGGCTTTCAACTCTTTCATAGCACTTTCGCATACATGATCTTATTTCATTCTTCCAATCTCATGAGGGTGGTAGACCAGGAGTTATACCCATTTTATAGAATGTCAGTCCCTTGAGTTAAAAAAACCTCGTCTATTTCATTCCCCATTTTGTCTTCATGGTTAGCACAGTTTCCAGAACGTGGAAAGAACTTAAAAAAATGTGATCGTGTGACTGGCTGACTTACTGAACGAATGAATGAGAAACTGAAGCACACACACAAAATTAAGTGATGTATCCAATATCATTTGGTATCAGTGCCAAGATTTTAATGAAAGAGACAAAAATGTTGTGTTCTTCCGAAATCAAACCTCAGAATGTCCCAGGATCCTGTTGCAGCAATGAGCAGTTAAACAGAGCACTTCAAGAGCCCTGCCATGGTATTAGTCCTTTAATGCCCTAATCATGCTGTATAACAAAAAACTTAAAAATCTCAGTGGCTTGTAACAAACATTTATCTGTTGCAGACATGGGTCTGCGGGTTGGCTCAGGTTCTGCTGATCTCATATCTTGGCCAGGCTTGGTCCCAGGCTCAGGGCAGGCTCAGGTTTGCTCCATGAGTCTCATTCTGGGGCCCACATTAGAGGGGAAGTGGCTTCCTGGGCCACATTCTTCTCGTGCTGGAGCACAGGAGCACAAAAGAACAAGCCAATCATGCACACACATTTAAAACCTCTGCTTCCATCATGTTTGCTCACATCCCTTTGGCAGAACAAGCAGCTGGCTAATCCCATAGTCAGTGGGGCAGGAATGTATGCTCCACTCCAAGGTGGAGGGGGAGTGACTATTGCTAAAACATAATTCAATTTATCATTGACAATCTGAAAGCAAGGAATTTAATTAAACAAATTCTCAAGCTCTCCGTCAGCTTTGTGTTTCTCCAGTTCATGTATAAAACACTCAAGGGAGCTTAACCCTTCACTAGTAGAAACTGCCTAGTCATACCCTGATCAAAATTCAAGGTCAAGCAGGGACTATTATTGGAGTCATAGATTTAGCTGTTTGGTATTCACACATCCCTAATGATCTTGGAAAGTATAATGTTTTCTAACAGCTGTAAAGACAAGAGATTCTAACATGATCAACTATACATAATGTCCTTGAAATTACATTGAATAATGTAATGATGTGTTATGCTGTCATTAACACGTTATGAATACCTAATTTGAAAGGTTAATGAAATTGAAAAACATATGAACACTGTGGGTATCATCAATACCGCTTAATGACAAATCTCTTATTTTCATTTATGAAATCGTTTATGAAATGGGAAGACTCTACTCCTAACTACACTTTTTTGGGTCATAAATTAAAAAGACTCTTCACAATATGTTTTATTTTAATTTGGAGTGTAGGGTTATAAAGTAATTTATACTTCAGGTCTATGTATAAATAATATTTAATATAATAAGATCATAATTACTTGAAATGACTGTTTTGTGGTTTTCTGAAAAAGGGTTACACTTGCGAAGGGTGAGTAGTTTTTGTTGGACAGATCAAAGAAAATGTCAGGACCAAGGACAGCTGCCGTGGGGATGGTAGTTCTCAACAGCCAGTGTATTCCTGCAGAAGGACTCTCCCGTCTGGCCTGAAGGATCTGTAGTTTTTCATCTTAAAACTGGGAAGAATGATCTGGGGAGACTATTTTCTTTCTCTCCATACCCCTGGGTAAGCTTTTAGTGTAACTGATTGGTTTTAAGGCAGTTGGATAGGCTAATGAATGCCAATAAAACTCAAACACATAGAAGGGGCCCAGTTTATTTTCATTTCCTATATAACAGTCCTAAAAAATGGATACCATCTGTGTTAACATTTTCATATAAAGAAAAATTGTAAATATGTTTTGTTCTTGAGTGTCCAGGTTACGTCTACATCAATAATACTAACACGAATATGAATACTACACCATCAACAAGAGTAACGGCAACATGGATGCCTCTACTTTATACAAGGCACCTTAACATACATCATCAGTTTGACTCTTTCAGAAATCCAGTGAAATTACTGAGTAATATTGTAACTCCATTTTGTCAATGATGAAATGAGGTCTGGAGAGGTTAAATGACTTGCCCCAAGTATGACAGTCAGGATGTGGCAAGACTGTGACTTGTTAATTCTGTGCTTTTTCCATTATGCGTCACAGCTTTTCTGTCTCCAGAAGCCACAGCTTTCTTTTCCTTTCCTTTTCTTTTCTTTTTTTTTTTAAAGATTGGCCATGGGCTAACATCTGTTGCCAATATTTTTTTTCCTTCTTCTTCTCCCCAAAGCCCCCCAGTACATAGTCGTGCATCCTAGTTGTGAGTGCCTCTGGTTGTGCTATGTGGGACGCCACCTCAGCATGGCTTGATGAGTGGTGCCATGTCCATGCCCAGGATCTGAACTGGCAAAATCCTGGGCCACCAAAGCGGAGTGTGTGAACTTAACCACTCGTTCACGGGGCCAGTCCAGCCACAGCTTTCTGTTAGCCATTTGGAGTTACATATCATTTCTGTTTGAAATGATTATTTTTTTCTGATTATCAAAATAACAAGTTGTCATTGTAGAAAATTTGAAAATATAGAAGAATATAAGGAAAAAATAATAACCACTCATTTCTGCAATCCAATCATGCAGAAATAACACATAACTCTTTTCAGTGTATACATGTGTACATGTGAAAAAACTCCACTCTTCTTTGTCCTGGGTTCTGTCAGATGGTTGGATGTGACCAATGAGGACATTGCAGAATATCAGGTCATAAAACTGACCCCAGTCCTGAGCCTCATGGAATCACAGAATCTGGAGGTAAAAGAGACAAAATGTAGGAATTGCCTTTGCAATATCCCAGGAAAATGGTCTTCCAGCTTCTGTTGGTGAGCCTCAGGTGACGCGAAGCCTACTGCGAATGCACCGACTGTCCCGCTGATGGTCATCTCAGGCTGTTCTGTGGCTACACTCTGCGTGGGGAGGGCTTCATGGAGAGTTCCAAAAAGGGTGAACATTCCCTACTT